CTATTCTTGAAAATAAAAGTGTAACACTCGATCATCACAGAGCATGTAACACATCTTGGTGTCTTACACTTGTATACTTCTGGTGTTGCACAAGAATTATCAAACTTTCAAGATCTTAGTTTGGCATCTACTATGTAAAATAGTATGATTATCAAAAATGAGTCTTATACGCCTGCTACTTTGCTTATAAGCTTATGATATTCAAATTCGCATAGAGAATTATTAAAAAGCTATTTATAGGAATTATTTCTTTTATAAACATTCATATCAAATATAGTAACATGCATAATTATAAAACAAATATGGATTTGTCTACACACTTCAACTTTCTCTGCCAATTTAATGTTTGGAAAACAAGGTGACCCTAATGTACAGTGAGTTTGAGTGATACAGTATTGATGGTATATTGTTTGACCTACCTGTTTCCTATTGTTTCATACTGATATAGAATAGTCTTCATTCCCGTTTGACAGACTACATGTTTCACTTTGCTTTTGCTGTCAATACATATTTGTGTATGGCAACGGAGGGTTCCTTATTTTAAACTTCTGTTGAAAATTCTAATCAAGCTATTTTTATCTCATAGGAATTATTGCTAAAAATAAGTGGTATGAAATGTAGTATTAGGCTATGTCATACCTTTAATTATACACAATGAGAAGGGCAGGTAACTAATAATAAATACATACATGTATAAATCATATCTACACAATCTGTAGGCTGCAACTCAGGGTCTTTTGATATGGATTCTTTTCTAACTAGTTGTAATCGAAAACTGTATACAATGACCATCCAATTCTAATCCGAAACCTGTTTATATCAAAATTCTAATGAAAAGCAAGCTGGGATGTAATGACCCTCAAAGTAAAACTCAAAACTGCAAGCAATGAATATCTAATGAAAATGGAAAACAGCATGAGGTCCACATATGGTAAGAGATCTTTCCGATTTGCTGCTTCCCAGGTGTGGAACAGCCTACCAAATGAAGTTCGATTAGCTGAAAACTATAAGTCGTTTCGTGGGCTGCTCCACACCTGGAACAAAAAAGTCTGCTCATGTGCTATCTGCACACACCATATAGTGTGAGTTGTCCCCCTTTGGAATCTACCTACATGTTTTATATAACAACTATTTAATTTCACTGCTGCNATACTGTGATTCTTGTTAAATTTTATATATGTTTTGTCGCAAGAATAGCACTACAGTGCTAATGTTATTATGTTATATGTATATGCGACGTTAAATAAAGCTTCTTGAATCTTGAATCTTGAAAAAAGAAATCTGTAAATAATGACCACCAAAAAAACCCGCATATACCTATATAAAACTTCATCTTATGATAAATAGGACTTTTATCTATAATCTATCTTCTTCGTAAGTTATTTAATGCAAAACACTTTTCAATTCATTTTGAACGACGATATATCGAAATATGAACATAGCTCAGCTGTCCAAATTAGTAAACTCATCTGCACGTTTAGAAGACATTCTACCCACTTGATGTTTGTATGAATTGTTTATGAGGTGACCCTGTTAAACAGAGTCACTGATACAGTTTTGCTGGCATTGTTGACCTACCTGTTTCTTAGTGTTGCATACTGATGAAGAATATTCCTAAATCCCTTTTGACAGACAGTAGATCACATATTTCACCATGTTTGGCCATGAGATGTTTGTTTATAGCAACGGAGGTTTTCTCGTTTTAACTTCCGAATGGAAAATCTAATTAGGCTATTGTTATCCTATGTTCATGGTTGCTAAAAATAGGTGGTATGAAATGTAATATTGAGGCTTTTCCATACCGTTAATTAGACACAGTAAGAAGGGCAGGTAACTACTGATATCTATCTGTTGGTCATATCTACACAATCTGTAGGCTGTAACTATGGGTCTCTTGGTTTGGAATTTCCACTGATGTGCAACAGAACATTGAATGAAACGATCATCTTATAAAAACATGTAAACCATGAAGATCTGACGAAAACAAATTTACGTACAGTACAATAAACCTTTAATGAAAACAGAAATCTGTATACAATGAACATCTTATCGGTATACAATGCACGTCTAATGAAAACACGAACATGTATACAATGCCATCGAATGATTACCAGAAACCTGTATACTATGAACATTTAATGAAAACAGAAAAATGTATAAAATAAACAAATAATAAAAACAGAAAGCTGTATAGAATGAATATCAAATGAAAACAGACACCGGCATATATTGGACATCCAATGATAAACAGAAACCTGTATACAGTGAACATCTAATAAAAATAGAAATCTGCATACTATGAACATTTAATGAAACCGGAAACATATATACAATACACATCTAATGAAAACAGAAACCTGTAAACAATGCATTTCTAATGAAAACAGACACCGGCATATAATGCACATCTAATAAAAACAGAAACCTGCATACAACTCAGGGTCTCTTGATATGAATTAGTTGTAATCGAAAACCGTATACAATGACCATCCCATACAAATCAGAAACCTGTATATATTAAAAATCTAATGAAAAACAAACTGGGATGTAATGACCATCAAAGTAAAACTCAAAACTGCAAGCAATGAATATCTAATGCAAACAGAAATCAGCGTCCAAATTAGTAAACTCATCTGCTTATTTAGAAGACATTCTAGTCATTTGATGTTTGTATGAATTGTTTATGAGGTGACCCTGTTAAACAGAGTCGGTAATACAGTTTTGCTGGCATTGTTGACCTACCTGTTTCTTAGTGTTGCATACTGATGAAGAATATTCTGCATTCCCTTTCGACAGACCGTAGACAACGTCTTTTTTTTACTTTGCTTTTTTCTGTCAATACATATTTGTTTATAACAACGGAGGGTTCCTTGTGTTAACCTTCCGTTGGAAATTCTAAACAAACTAGTTTTATCTCATAGAAATTATTGCTAAAAATAAGTGGTATGAAATGTAGTATTAGGCTATGTCATACCTTTAATTATACACAATGAGAATGGCAGGTAACTAATCATATATATACACATGTATATTTCATATCTACACAAACTGTAGGCTGCAACTCAGGGTCTCTTGATATGAATTAGTTGTAATCGAAAACCGTATACAATGACCATCCCATACAAATCAGAAACCTGTATATATTAAAAATCTAATGAAAAACAAACTGGGATGTAATGACCATCAAAGTAAAACTCAAAACTGCAAGCAATGAATATCTAATGAAAACAGAAATCAGCGTCCAAATTAGTAAACTCATCTGCATATTTAGAAGACATTCTAGTCATTTGATGTTTGTATGAATTGTTTATGAGGTGACCCTGTTAAACAGAGTCGGTAATACAGTTTTGCTGGCATTGTTGACCTACCTGTTTCTTAGTGTTGCATACTGATGAAGAATATTCTGCATTCCCTTTCGACAGACCGTAGACAACGTCTTTTTTTTTACTTTGCTTTTTTCTGTCAATACATATTTGTTTATAACAACGGAGGGTTCCTTGTGTTAACCTTCCGTTGGAAATTCTCATGAAACTATTTTTATCTCATAGAAATTATTGCTAAAAATAAGTGGTATGAAATGTAGTATTAGGCTATGTCATACCTTTAATTATACACAATGAGAATGGCAGGTAACTAATCATATATATACACATGTATATTTCATATCTACACAAACTGTAGGCTGCAACTCAGGGTATCTTGATATGAATTAGTTGTAATCGAAAACTGTATACAATGGCCATCCAATACAAATCAGAAACCTGTATACATTAAAAATCTAATGAAAAGCAAACTGGGAGGTAAAGACCATCAAAGTAAAACTCAAAACTGCAAGCAATGAATATCTAATGAAAACAGAAATCGGTATGAGGTCGAAAACAGAAATCTGTAAATAATGACCTAAAAATAAACACATATACCTATATAAAACTTCATCTGATGATAAATAGGATTTTTGTCTATAATCTATCTTTTTCGTCGTCAGGTTTCATATTAATGAAGAACAACTTTTCAATTCATTTTGAACAACAATAAGTCGGAAATATGAACATAGCTCAGCTGTCCAGATTAGTAAACTCATCTGCACATTTAGAAGACATTCTACCCACTTGATGTTTGTATGAATTGTTTATGAGGTGACCCTGTTAAACAGAGTCACTGATACAGTTTTGCTGGCATTGTTAACATTCCTGTTTCTAAGTGTTGCATACTGATGAAGAATATTCTGCATTCCCTTTTGACAGACCGTAGACTACATGTTTCACTTTGCTTTTGCTGTCAATACATATTTGTTTATTACGACGGAAGGTTCCTTGTGTTAACCTTCCGTTGGAAATTCTAAACAAACTAGTTTTATCTCATAGGAATTATTGCTAAAAATAAGTGGTATGAAATGTAGTATTAGGCTATGTCATACCTTTAATTATACACAATGAGAAGGGCAGGTAACTAATCATATATATACACATGTATATATCATATCTACACAAACTGTAGACTGCAACTCAGGGTCTCTTGATATAAATTAGTTGTAATCGAAAACTATACAATGACCATCCCATACAAATCAGAAACATGTATATATTAAAAATCTAATGAAAAGCAAACTGGGATGTAATGACCATCAAAGTAAAACTCAAAGCTGCAAGCAATAACTATCTAATGAAAACAAAAAGCAGCATGAGGTCGAGAAACGAAATCTGTAAATAATGACCACCAAAAAGCCACATATACCTATATAAAATTTCATCTTATGATAAATAGGATTTTTGTCTATAATCTATCTTTTTCTTAAGGTTTCAAATTTATGAAAAACACTTTTCAATTCATTATGAACGACGATATGTCGAAAATATGAACATAGCTCAGCTGTCCAAATTAGTAAACGTATCTGCACACTTAGAAGACATTCTACCCACTTGATGTTTGTATGAATTGTTTATGAGGTGACCCTGATAAACAGAGTCACTGATACAGCTTTGCTGGCATTGTTGACCTACCTGTTTCTTAGTGTTGTATACTGATGAAGAATATTCCTCATTCCTTTATGCCATACAGTTAATCACATATTTCAACATGTTTTGCTGTTCTGAAACGTTTGTTTATAGTAACGGAGGTTTCTTGTATTTACTTCCTGTTGAAATTCTTATTAGGCTATTTTCATCCTATAAGAATGGTTGCTAAAAATAGGTTGTGTGGAATGTAGTATTGTGGGTTTTCCATACCGTTAATTAGACACAGTACGAAGGACAGGTAACTACTGATATCTGTATATAGGTCATATCTTCACAAACTGTAGGCTGCAACTATGGGTCTCTTGTTTTTGAATGTCCACTTATGTGCAACAGAACATTGAATTGAACCATGTAAACCATGAATATTCGACGAAAACAAATTTATGAACAGTACAGTGAGCATTTAATAAAAATCTGAATACAATGAACATCTTATCTGTACACAATTCACATCTAATGAAAACAAGAACATTTGTACAATGACATTGAATGCTTAACAGAAACCTGTATACAGTGAACATCTAATAACAACAGAAACCTGTATACTTTGAACATTTAATGAAAACCAAATTTGTTTACTATTAACATTTAATGAAAACAGAAAGCTGTATAGAATGAATATCTAATAAAAACAGACACCGGCATATAATGCACATCTAATGAAAACAGAAACCTCTACACAATGACCATCTAATGAAAACAGAAACCTCTATACAATGACCATCTAATGAAAACAGAAACATGTATACTATGAACATCAAATGATAACAGAAAAATATAAACAATAACATCTAATGATAAACAATACAGTGAATATCTAATGAAAACAGAAACATTTATAAAGTGACAACTTGCGATAAACAGAAACCTGTAAACAATGACCATCTTATGGTTAACATTAACCTGTATACAATGACTATCTGATAGTATTTAGAAACATGTTAACAAGCATCATCTAATAATAAGTATAAAACTGCAAATAATGAACATCTAATGAAAATACAAACCTAGAAACAATGGTCATCTGATATATTATGACAACAACATACTATGTAAAGTGAATATCTGATGACAAACAAACTCTATGTAAAATGAATATCTAATGACAACAAAAAACTATGTACAATAAATATCTGATGACAAGAAACTATGTAAAAAAAAATCTAATGACAACAAAAACCTGTGTACAATGGATATCTAATGAAAACAAAAACCTGTGTAAAATGAATACCTAATGACAACAAAAACCTATGTAAAATAAATATCTAATGACAACAAAAACCTGTGTACAATAAATATATAATGACCAACAGCAATCTGTGTATAATGAATATCTAATGACAACAAAAACCTGTGTACAATGAATATATAATGACAACAAAAACCTGTGTACAAAAAAATATATAATGACAAAAAAACTATGTAAAAATGTATATATAATGACAAAAAAAACTATGTACAATGAATATCAAATGACAACAAAAACCTATGTACAATGAACATCTAATGACAACAAAAACCTTTGTAAAATAAATATTTAATGACAACAAAAACCTATGTAAAATGAATATCTAATGACAACAAAAACCTGTGTACAATAAATATATAATGACCAACAAAAACCTGTGTACAATAAATATATCATGACAACAAAAACCTATGTAAAATGAATATCTGATGACAAAAACAATGTACAATAAATATATAATGACAACGAAAACCTGTGTACAATAAATAAAAATATGACAAAAAACTATGTAAAATGAATATCTGATGAAAATAAAAACCTATGTACAATGAATATATAATGACCAACAGCAACCTGTGTACATTGAATATCTAATGACAACAAAAACATGTGTACAATAAATATATAATGACAATTTTTTATGTAAAATGAATATCTGATGACAAAAACTATGTAAATGAATATCTAATGACAACAAAAACCTGTGTACAATAAATATATAATGACAAAAAACTATGTTAAATGAATATATAATGACAACAAAAACCTGTGTACAATGGATATATAATGAAAACACAAACCTGTGTACAATGAATATCTGATGACAACAAAAACCTGTGTACAATAAATATATAATGACCAACAAAAACCTATGTAAAATGAATATCTAATGACAACAAAAACCTGTCTACAATGGAAATCTAATGAAAACAAAAACCTATGTAAAATGAATATTTAATGACAACGAAAACCTGTGTACAATAAATATATAATGACCAACAAAAACCTGTGTACAATAAATATATATAATAACAACAAAAAAATGTAAAACAAATATCTAATGACAACAAAAACCTGTGTACAATAAATATATAATGACAAAAAAACTATGTACAATGAATATCTGATGACAAAAACTATTTACAATGAATATATAATGACAACAAAACCCAGTGTACAATAAATATATAATGACAAAAAAACTATGTAAAATGAATATATAATGACAACAAAAACCTATTAACAATGAATATCTAATGACAACAAAAACCTATGTAAAATGAATATCTGATGACAAAAACTATGTACAATAAATATCTAATGACAACAAAAACCTGTGTACAATAAATAAATAATGACAAAAAAACTATGTAAAATGAATATCTGATGAAAACAAAAACCTATGTACAATGAATATATAATGACCAACAGCAACCTGTGTACATTGAACATCTAATAACAACAAAAACATGTGTACAATAAATATATAATGACAATTTTTTTTATGTAAAATGAATATCTGATGACAAAAACTATGTAAATGAATATCTAATGACAAAAAAACCTGTGTACAATAAATATATAATGACAAAAAAAACTATGTACAATGAATATCTGATGACAAAAACTATGTTAAATGAATATATAATGACAATAAAAACCTGTGTACAATGGATATATAATGAAAACACAAACCTGTGCACAATGGAAATCTAATGACAACAAAAACCTATGTAAAATGAATATCTAATGACAACAAAAACCTGTGTACAATAAATATATATAATAACAAAAAAATATGTAAAAAAATATCTAATGACAACAAAAACCTATGTAAAATGAATATCTGATGACAACAAAAACCTATGTACAATGAATATATAATATCTGATGAAAACAAAAACCTATGTACAATGAATATATAATGACCAACAGCAACCTGTGTACATTGAACATCTAATAACAACAAAAACATGTGTACAATAAATATATAATGACAATTTTTTTATGTAAAATGAATATCTGATGACAAAAACTATGTAAATGAATATCTAATGACAACAAAAACCTGTGTACAATAAATATATAATGACAAAAAAAACTATGTACACTGAATATATAATGACATAAAAAACAATGTACAATGAATATCTAATGACAATAAAAACCTGTGTACAATAAATATATAATGACAAAAAAAGCTATGTAAAAATAATTTCTAATGACAAAAATAACCTATGTACAATAATTATATAATGACAAACAAAAACCTGCGACAATGAATATATTATGACAAAAAAAACTATGCACAATGAATAAATAATGACAAACCGAAACATGTGTACAATGAATATATAATGACAAACAAAAATCCTATGTACAATGAATATATAATGACACCAAAACCTATTTACAATGTATATCTGATGACAAAAAGCCTATGTACATGAGATGTTTGTTTGTAGTAACGGAGGTTTTCTCGTTTTAACTTCCGAATGGAAAATCTAATTAGGCTATTGTTATCCTATGTTAATGGTTGCTAAAAATAGGTGGTATGAAATGTAATATTGAGGCTTTTCCATACCGTTAATTAGACACAGTAAGAAGGGCAGGTAACTACTGATATCTATCTGTTGGTCATATCTACACAATCTGTAGGCTGTAACTATGGGTCTCTTGGTTTGGAATTTCCACTGATGTGCAACAGAACATTGAATGAAACGATCATCTTATAAAAACATGTAAACCATGAATATCTGACGAAAACAAATTTACGTACAGTACAATAAACCTTTAATGAAAACAGAAATCTGTATACAATGAACATCTTATCGGTATACAATGCACGTCTAATGAAAACACGAACATGTATACAATGCCATCGAATGATTACCAGAAACCTGTATACTATGAACATTTAATGAAAACAGAAAAATGTATAAAATAAACAAATAATAAAAACAGAAAGCTGTATCGAATGAATATCAAATGAAAACAGACACCGGCATATATTGGACATCTAATGATAAACAGAAACCTGTATACAGTGAACATCTAATAAAAATAGAAATCTGCATACTATGAACATTTAATGAAAACAGAAACATATATACACCGGCATATATTGGACATCTAATGATAAACAGAAACCTGTATACAGTGAACATCTAATAAAAATAGAAATCTGCATACTATGAACATTTAATGAAAACAGAAACATATATACACCGGCATATATTGGACATCTAATGATAAACAGAAACCTGTATACAGTGAACATCTAATAAAAATAGAAATCTGCATACTATGAACATTTAATGAAAACAGAAACATATATACAATACACATCTAATGAAAACAGAAACCTGTAAACAATGAATTTCTAATGAAAACAGACACCGGCATATAATGCACATCTAATAAAAACAGAAACCTGCATACAACTCAGGGTCTCTTGATATGAATTAGTTGTAATCGAAAACTGTATACAATGACCATCCCATACAAATCAGAAACATGTATATATTAAAAATCTAATGAAAAGCAAACTGGGATGTAATGACCATCAAAGTAAAACTCAAAGCTGCAAGCAATAACTATCTAATGAAAACAAAAAGCAGCATGAGGTCGAGAAACGAAATCTGTAAATAATGACCACCAAAAAGCCACATATACCTATATAAAATTTCATCTTATGATAAATAGGATTTTTGTCTATAATCTATCTTTTTCTTAAGGTTTCAAATTTATGAAAAACACTTTTCAATTCATTATGAACGACGATATGTCGAAAATATGAACATAGCTCAGCTGTCCAAATTAGTAAACGTATCTGCACACTTAGAAGACATTCT